TAACAGTCAGTAGTTAGGTTTATCCAATTGATCTGCACGAGATGTTATTCTATCAAACTTGCCAAGTAAAATAAATATGGTCATATTTTTTTTTGTCCATTGAAAAAAAAAAAAGTTTCACCCTAGGTGTTACATTTATAGAAAATGTAAATACTTTACCCTACTCTACCAGGAAAAATCCAACATCCTCCCACACTTGATCGCCCAAGTCACACTGTTTCGCTTAGTCGCTTTCACCTAGGTTACTACCCGTTTCTCAGAAATAATACATGGTCAAAATTTAGACTAAAATTGCTCACTCGTTAGCTCTGTTATCATATTCATGGTCAGTCAAGGGAGTAAAAATTTGTTTCACATATAGATTTTCAATTTTAAATCAATATTTTACTTAGTTTTTAAACCTTAAATTAAATTGATTAATAAATAACTGTTGATATTCAAATAATTTATAATAGACATACACAAAATCTAAATATGTAAAATTATTCATATTTTTTTTAATTGTCTGATTGCAATTTACTAGGTATTTGAAAATATTAATTAAATTTGTATGCATCAGTAAAAATTTGAATGAATTTTTGAATGAAAAGAAATGATAGACGGTTTGACTCTGTTTAATCTAAAGCTTACAATTTATTTCAAATTAATTTGGAACAATTAAATTTAAAAACAAGTTTTATTCTATTGAAGTTATTTCAATTGTCGTGAAAAGATCAAAGCAACAGAACAATTTTTTTTATATCCGGTCTGTCTCACCCCACCATTCACCTTTGGTTTGTTGTCTCTCTCTCTCTCTCTCTATCATTCTCAGTATACTACCAACGGTTTAACTGTAAGGAACTAACCCTTGATAAAAAGCGAGAATATTTGGAACTTTTGGATTTGAATAGGCTTTGATTATTGATATTGACTTGAATTACTGATTTACTGTTTCGATATAATTCATTGAAACTTTATTTAGTTGGGTGATTATCACAAACTTGGAATTCGATCCGGCTTCGTATATTGAATTATTTGGATAACGATTTGGAACCAACATCCTTGGGTTTTGTTTTTTTCTCTATATTTTACTTGGAATTTGACCGGGCTTCGTATTTTGATAATGTATTATTGGAATAACATATGGTACGAATTTACATGGTATTTGACCCGGCTTTGTCTTTTGATATTAAACTACTGCAATAAAGAATAGGTACCAGCCGCTTTTTCTTGAACCAAATTTTGAAATATTTTCTACAGACCAAATACTTTTTTTTTTTTCTGCAGACAAATTATGTGGGATTTTTTTAATTTGGTTTTAAAATATTTTCTACGGATTAATAAAAATGCCTAAAAAAGGTCCAATTTCCAAAGCAGACAAACTTAAAAGAAATGTTAGGTCGAAAGATCACCTCAGGAATAGAGCTGTTCCTACCAAATTTTATGAAATTAAATTTGGATTCTCCCCCATGATACAAAATCCAGGAATAGAGCTGTTCCTACCAAATTTTATGAAATTAAATTTGGATTCTCCCCCATGATACAAAATCCATCTCAAAAAAAGATTCTCAAATTTTAACTATACACCCATCAATTACGTTACATCAGCTAGTAATCACTATAATACTCTAACATAACATAGAAAATAATATTTATAGTATTAATAAATTCTCTTACTTTTCCCTAACCAATATGTCTGGGGACACAAATGTTAATAACGCATAATTGTGGGTTGATGGTTGACTGTAGTGAATAATGAAGAGAAGGATGGTTGGGAAGATCAGTCAACATAAAAAACTGGTGCGGTGAGCGCATCACACAGCTTTCACTTACCACCCTTTTAGCAGAAATAAGTATTTTCAGACAAAGGAGAAATGAAAGTAAAAATTATAGACGCAATAATTATTTAGATTTAATTGTGGGTATTTTTATTTGTATAAGTACCCTTATATATACAAATTTTAATATTAATATCGGTGTAATCTACACAATTAAATATTAAATAATACCAACAATAGCATTTATGAAAACCGCATATTTATATTTATATAGTATTGTCGGAGACCGTATTATATTAATCTCATGTTGCTTATAGAAGACTTATAATCTTTCGGACGAGCTCGGGTACGATCAATTACAACTATTCTCCGCTACGATTTTTTATTTCTCCTTTAGTTAATTATCAAATTCTTTCATATTTTATATTTACCTATCTTTAATATTAGAAATTAATGTGAAATAGTCAATTGTTTCAAATAAAAATAAATAAAGGTACTTTAGAGGAAGCTAATATTGAAAATTAGCCATTTAAGCCCTGTTAAAGAACATTAATCAGAATAAAAACTACATTTTATTTAAAACTGCTAAATTTTACACTTATATGATGAATTTAATCAAAATTGTTAGAGCTGTTTACAATTCCGAGAAAATTGTAAAAATGTGTTTAGACCATGATATAAAGTGCCATTTGCAGTGAGTCGATTTTGAAGAAAAAGTTACTATAACATCTCTAGGACATAAAAACCTTAAATATACAATTTCACTTTCGTACGACTTTTCGTTTTTGAGCTACACCATTAACACACACACAGACCATTTTGTGGGACTTAGTTATTTGGACTCAGAGGATCTTAAAACGTGTATTTCCGTTGAAAACTGAGATTCAAAAATTTTCACGATCGCAATACTTTCCTTTACTACATATTTCATAAATAAGTGAAAGTAAAAATGGCAAAAAATAAATAATAATATTTATTTTAACATTTAACATTTGCAAATGTTAAAATAAATATTACTATTTATTTTTGCCATTTTTATTTTGACTGATCAACCATTAATAATGATTTGACTGACCAATCATTAATAATGTAAAATTTTTAATTAACTTCTCTTCAATATATCTACAACAGTCAACTATCAATCCACTAAAACGAAACTTATTTATTATACATGAATGAAAATTGGCTACAAAATAATTTGAGTAAAAAACTTTCAGCATTTTAAATAACAAACATAATATTTTAGAGGGAGCATTAGGATTTTTTATTTATTTTAGTTTTGGAAAACTAAACTTTTAGCAATTTTTCATAAACTGAAGGGAAGTTTAATTAACAAGTGACATTCCTGCTAAATCAAACTATTTACTTTATTCCTCTTGATACCGACAGCAGATAGACAATATCAAAAAACAAGAAACGAAATTACTAGCATAATAAAATCCTTTATATATTTATTATTTCAATAGTTTTTGAAAGCCTAAACACACCTTTAGTTTTTAAAAACAAATGATGGGATATAGCGACAGTTAGCTCTCGACAAAGACGGTATCAAAACGATATCCAAATCCAATAAATATCCAATGTATATTTATTTCCAATTTGAAAAAATATTTACGTACTGAAAAAATTCCCTGACTTTTCCCATTTTTCCGAGTCGGTAGCCACCCTGATAATTTTTATAATGATTTAATATGAAAATTAATTAGTAGAAGATATACAATATAAAAACAACAATATAATTTTATGTTTTAGCATAACTAATCAGAAATCTAAACCTAGAAGCATTACTTGTGCATGGAGACAAAAATTAATGGAGAGTTCTCAGAAATTAAAAAATATACCGCGCACTTAAGTTTTATAATTTTCTATTATTGTGGATTTAGTATTATAGATTCACAAGTAAAAAATTAACTATTAATTAGAAGATTAAAAAGAAATCAAATCAAATAAAAAAACATTCCTCAAGCTAACACAAAAACTGAAAATTAATTTGAATGGCAGCTCAAGTGCAAAAAAACATTATGCCAACTTCTAAAAATAGCTGAAGTATAATCGAAAATAGTTTTACTTTAATGATGAAATATTTTTAAAAAACAATCATATTAAATAATATTTTAAAAAAACACACATAAATTTATCAAGATTCTAACCATAGCTTGACTGATTGTTGTAAATAGTATAGATAGATGAGGAAGTAAACACAAAAGAGATGGAAGTAACTAATAAATGGTATTAAGATAAAAAAACATAATACCTGATGTAATGCTGAATGATTTCGCATTGAAATCCACATGGTAACTTTCATAGTTGTATGATTTTTCAAAATAATATGGTAACTTTTAAAGTTGCCATTAGACATCAAATTTTAAAAATTCGATTCAATAATGACCAAAAAGTAAAATTTATAATGCTTTTTAAACATAACAATTAAAAAAAAAAACACAACATTAAAGTTGATTTGTAACTAAAATAACATAATTTTTATATATTGCACACTAAACACTAAATGAATTCTATTCATTGAATTCAAAAGACTGGATAAATTTATATGAGATCATATAAGAAGGTATAGGATATACAATGTTTACTATGCTAATAAACAATTTTATAGCAGTTAAATTCATAATTTTTCATAGAATACAACTGACGTTCTTCGCCTCTTCTTTCTTCAGTTATGGTATATTTATAACCAAAATCAAAGCAGAAAATAATAATATATAAACTATATTTCTGATTTTTTTTTAAAGCCAACATGATCGTCTTCAAATTTGGCACTGTTCAATAGAATAGGTAACTGGTTGGAAGATCTTTCTTAATGAAGAAGAAATGTACTCACGATACTACTATTAAATTCAATAAATTCATTGAAAAATTAAAAAAAAAAAAAAAAAAGAAAATGACAATTTGAAGGCCCTCTATCTTAGGCCAATTAAAAATATTTATATATATTTACACACAATAATGCTAAAGTAGCTAAGATTCATTTTTTTTTTTTTCAATAATCTTCTTTCTTCTATCTTCTTCTTTATTAAGACTAATTCAAAGTTATCTCCAGAGATAAGATTCTGACATAAAATAATTGAAGAGAAAGGAAGAAACAATATAAAAAAAGAAATATTAAATTCTAAAAAGCTCATGACATTAATTAAAATATTGTTTTGGTTTTACTGAAAATGTAAACTGAAAGATTGAAATAATTTTTAAATTAGTTGATATGAATACATAAAATAAGGAAATGATTACCTCAACATTGTTTGATGAGAGTAGTTGTATACTACTTTGTTTTAAATTCTCAAGTGATATCATATAGTATTTCTCTGGGTCTTGAAATGGCTTGGCATTCGTTTCTTCACAGTATTTTCTACTTTTGTTGCTTCTGAAGTGGTCTTCTTCTTCACTTAAATCTTGCATTGAGGGACGAAAAGTACAAATCCTTTTGTTTCTCAAAGATGTAGAATGTTTTGAACAAAGTTTAACCATCCTGTTTAAATAACCAATTTTAAATTCTATCTTTCTAATATAACAATTCCCCCTACAACTTTGACTAATGGTATTCCCTCCCAATGAACAGCTGCAAGGTTCAAAACCCATGAAATCATCATCGGAGTCTTCTTCATCTTCAGGAGGCTCTGCAGCTTGAGTCAACCTTTGCCTAACAACATTAAGTAAGATTTCTTTCATTGTTCCCCCAACTTTCAAAACCGTGCGATGGCCACTAGAACAACCAGCAACGTCTGCATCAATTGGTTTATTTATAGTTGAATAATTTGCACCCTCAGATTTATTATAACTGCTAAAGCTCTTGTTATTAAGATTAGAACGTTTAGGTACAGCCCCACTGTCAATTTCTGATTCATGGTGCCTTTTAATGCTTGGATGAGTACGAGACATAGAAGAGCTAATAGTTCTTCCATGAATAGATAATGATTCAGATTGACTGATAACTTTGGTTGATTTTTCATTTTTCTCACTAAGAAATGACGGATCATTGGAATTTGAACGAATCTGAATATTGTTAAGACCCTTTTCCTGTTTCATTCTTTTATTTGAACGCCTAGGTCTTTCTAATCGGTTCTTAGGTGACTCATCTTCAGTATCTGATTCATCATCCGTCTTAGATAAGGAGCTCTTTCTTCTTCTTCTTTTGAACCTCCTATTTCTTTCAGTAGATTTTGTGAAAGTAATTTGAACATCAGATGGTTGGCAGGTATCTTTTTTTAAACAGTAGTAAACATTTCTAGGAATGAATAACCTCTTCACTTTGTTTTCATGTAAACAGTCGTAAATCTTACTTAAAGTGTCAAGTCTCGACAACAACACAAAGGTTGGGGAAAGATTTCCACCAGTATTAAATTCAGTTTTCCTCTTCCTAAGAATCATTCTCTTATTTCTTAAACTACTTCTTTCCTGATCCTTTTTAACAAAACGAGCATTATCAACTAATTTAGGTACCTTAGATATTTTATTAGGTGGTTCTTCCTTGTTAAACAATGTATTGCTGGTTCTCTTTACACTCTTACTATGTCCCAGCATTTGTCGCTTTCTTATATCATCGTTTTCTATATTAGTTGCACATTGGATGTTTAAAGAACTATTTGAAATATCAATCTTTTCAAGTACAATTTTGACCTTTTTAATGATACAATTTTTTGTAAGATCTTGAGTTGCTTTAGATAGGACGGAATTGACACAATTAGTTTTAACAATTTCATCAGTGGGGTCTGCATCATGGCTCATTGAATCATGGTGCCCCATTTTTTCCAAATTATTGCTATTTGCTTCATTAAACGGAGTTCCACAAATAATTATGTTTACTTTGTTTATCTCGTCTTGCTTGTCTAACTTAATCTTATTACTTTCTGTTTCATTATTCTGATCAACTGATGAGGAAACAACGTTTTCTTTCATCTTATTTTCAGAGTAAACTTTTGGTACATTTTCAAAATGAATTGTATTAATTGCTAAATCATTTCTCTCATTATTGATAGTTATTTTATCTATATCAGATTTCATGATGAGTAGTGCACTTTTTGATTTGGTTGGTTTGACTAAAATGCTAGATTGAAAATAATTAGCTACTATTACATTAGATGTTGATTCTTCCTGTTTATCAGCAGAATCATCGGTTTGACCGAGGGTATTGATATCTATTGGTTTTGATTTTGATTTTTTACTATTTTTCAAATATTCTACGGTTCCTGAATTAGGGTCAGTGCAATCTGGAGAAGTTATATTAGCCTGAGAGTTAGTTACTTCAGTTTCATGAATTTCTTCTGGCAAATTATGAACTTTTTCTTCACTACTGTTAGATAAATTTGAATCAGCTGGATTAAATGATGACAATCTTTCTGAATTGAGACTGTTAAGATCTGATTCTATATGCACAGTTCCAAGATGTTGAAAACTGGAGCCAATATCGCTCGAATCTGGCTCAATATAATTGTTTGGATTCAAACCTAAGTTATCAGATCCTGATGTCAAAGACCTGTGTTGTAAAATAGCTAAGGAATCTTCTCTGTTTCTAGTACTTGCATTTTCTTGCTCACTAGGGTTATCTATTTTTTTTACTTCTCTACGCTCCTCTTCATTGTTCATGATTTGTTCTAATGAATCAGTAGCAGAGTAATCAGAGGCAGATTCTTCAGTTTTTGACAGTAAATCCTTTTTACTAGCACTATTATCAAGATGAAAGTTTTCGATTTCAGTTGATCCTGACAGCGGTTGAACAATAAAATTATCTACAGCTTCAGATTGTAAAGAAACTTGATTATCAACTATATCAGTGTCATTAGAAATGACAGCTTCATTTTCAGAAGGACCTATATTTTGTGGAGCTTGTGCAGATAAATTACAACATGTTTTTGGTTCATTCTTACCAACAGCAAAATCAGAATTACGATGGGACATTTCAGATTCATGACAGTCATCTACCACATTCTTGCTGCTTCCAGTGTTGATTTCAGAATTTTCTTGAAATGTCACATCAATGTTATCAGGAATTAAAATTGAATTAGTCTTACTAACAGACAGCTTAGGGTTATCAATAGCCGAATAAAGAGATGAAGGATATTGTTTTTGTTTCTGGCTGTTAACTTCAGGCCTTAAATTTATAGGTGATGTTTCCTCAGTATTATTTCCCTGATCAATACTTACAGTAGAATCACCAGAAGCTGTAACACTAGGTTGATTGTTGTTTGGAGCTAAATTATCATTGATTACAAATTCAGATGGACTTTCTTCCCGCTTAACAACTTTAACAATTTGAAACCTATTATTTCGATCAATGTATTTTGTGAATTCTTGAATAAAATCTTCATGCTTATTATTGACTTGAGGACCAGATTGCTCTGATGAATCCATGTCCTTTCTAATATTATTCTTAGTAAATTCAGTAAAACCAATAGATTTGACTGATCCATCAATATTCTGAGCTGATATTACCTTTTCTTCATCAGTTGATTTTACATCATCACACTCCATGATATTTAAATCATTTTTAACACCAGTATGAGTATGTAGGACACTTTCTTGATCAAGTGGTTTGTGTGTATTTTCAGAAAATATTTTCTCAGTGGTATTGGTATTATTTGCAGTATTACTAACAGTTCGATCAACATTTTCCTTACTCTGCGGTTCAACAACATCAACATTATCAGTAAAAGGCAGACTGACACTTTCTAGACTTAATGGTTCATCAGCATTTTCAGGAGCACTGATATAATCTCTAGCCGTTTGACTGGCACCTTCTACACTTGATGGTTTGTCAGTATTTTTAGTGGAAGTTTTCTTTGTGACATTTTTATCTTTTTCCTCATCAGTAACAGTTTGTTCGATATTTTCTACTGGGTTCTCATTAAATGATTTCTCTGGGATATTGACACTATTTTCGTCAATAGTTCGATTAACATTTTCTAAACAAAGTGGTTCATCAGCATTTTCATTGGCACTCATAACAGAAACACTTTGATCGACAATTTCTAGACTTTGTGGTTTGTCAGTATTACTAGTGAAAGAAGTTTTATTTATGACATTTATATAATTCTTAACATCAGAAACAGTTTGTTGCACACTTTCTGTATCAAGTGGATTCTCAGTAAATGTTTTCTCAGGGATGCTGACAATACATTTCTCATCAGTAACAGTTTGTTGGATAGTTCCTACATCAATTGGGTTCTCATTAAATGTTTTCTCTGAGATATTGACACTATTTTCATCATTAATAGTTCGATTAACATTTTCTAAACAAAGTGGTTCATCAGCATTTTCATTGACACTCATATCAGAAACACTTTGACCAATACTTTCTAGACTTTGAGCATTTCCAGTGAAAGAAGGTTTATCTAGGACATTTATATCATTCTTGACATCAGAAACAGTTTGTTGCACACTTTCTGTATCAAGTGAATTCTCAGTAAATGTTTTATCAGTTGTATTGACAATACTGTCATCACCAGTAATAGTTTGTTGGACACATTTTGTATCAAGTGGTTTCTGTGAACTTTCAGAAAATATTTTCTTAGCGTTATTGATACTATTTTCATCACTAATAGGTCGACTAACTTTTTGTAAACAAACTGGTTCATCAGAATTTTTAGAGGTAATGATATCACTAACAGTTAGACTGGCACTATCGAAACTGTTTGGTGTGTCAGTATTTTCAGTGGATGTTTTCTCTGAGATTTTCATATAAGTTTCCTCATCAGTTACTGTTTGTAGAACACTTTCTTGATCAAGTGGTTTCTGTGTATTTTCAGAAAATATTTTCTCAGTGGTATCAATATTGTTTGCAGTATCACTAACAGTTTGATTAACATTTTCCTTACTATATGGTTCAACAACATTGATACTATCAGTAACAGTCAGACTGACACTTTCTAGGCATGGTGGTTTGGCAGTATTTTCAGTGAATGTTTTCTCAGTGACATTTACATGATTTTCCTCATCAGTAATAGCTTGTTGGATATTTTCTGCATCAAGTGGGTTCTCAGTAAATTTTTTCTCTGTGATATTGATACTATTTTCATCATCTCTAACAGTTTGATTAACATTTTCTATACCAAGTGATTTATCAGCATTGACATCATCAGTAACAGTTAGGCTGATACTTTCTAGACAAGGTATGGCAGTATTTTCAGTGAAAGTTTTATCAGTGACATTTAAATTATTTTCTTTTTGTTGGATATTTTCTACATCAAGTGGTTTCTCAGTAAATGTTTTCTCTGTGGTATTGATAATATTTTCATCATCATTTTCAGTAGTACTGATATCATCTCTTACAGTTAGACCGACAGTTTCTAGACTTGGTGGTTTGTCTGTATTTTCAGTGAATGTTTTCTCTGTCACACTTCTATCATTTGCCTTATCAGTTTGTTTGGTATTTTCTACATCACGTGGGTTCTCAATAAATGTTTTCTCTGTGGTATTGATACTATTTTCATCACTAGTAGTTTGGTTAACATTTTCTAGACATTCATTGGAACTCATATCTGAAACAGTTCGACTGACACTTTCTGGACTTAGTGGTCTGTCAGAATTTTCATCATCATTAACATTAACAGAATTATCATCATCATTTCGTTGGAAATTTTCTACATCAGGTGGATTCTCAGTAAATGTTTTCTCTGTGGTATTGATACTATTTTCATCAATAGTAGTTAGGTTAACATTTTCTAGACATTCATTGGAACTCATATCTGAAACAGCTCGACTGACACTTTCTGGACTTTGTGGTCTGTCAGAATTTTCAGTGAATGTTTTCTCTATGAGATTTATATCATTTTTTACCTCAATAACAATTTGTTGACTACTTTCTATATCACATGGTTTCTCAGTAAATATTTTCTCTGTGGTATTGATATTAGCTCCATCATCAATAACAATTCTATTAACATTTTCTAAACAAAGTGATTCATTAGCATTTTCATTGGCACTGTTATCAGAAATAGTTTGATTGACACATTCTTGACTTTGTGGTTTATCAGTATTTTCAGTAAATGTTTTTTCTATAACATTTATACCATTTTTGACATCAGAAACAGTTTGTTGCACACTTTCTGTATCAAGTGAATTCTCAGTAAATGTTTTCTCAGTTGTATTGACATTACTTTCATCACCAGTAATTGTTTGTTGGATATTTTCTACATCAAGTGGGTTCTCAGTAAATGTTTTTTTCTCTGTGATATTGATACTATTTTCATCATCACTAACAGTCCGTTTAACATTTTCTATACTAACTGGTTTATAAGCATTGATATCATCAGTAACAGTTAGGCTGGCACTTTCAAGACATGGTGGTATGTCAAAATTTTCAGTGAAAAATTTCTCTGTGATATTTACATCTTTTTCTTTATCAGTAATTATTTGTTGGGTATTATTTACATTAAGTGGGTTCTCAGTAAATGTTTTCTCTGTGGTATTGATATTATCTTCATCACTAACCATGTGATTAACATTTCCTATAACAAGTGGACCATCAGCATTGATATCAGTAACAGTTAGACTGACACTTTCTACAGTTGGTTTGTCAATGTTTTCAGTGAAAGTTTTCTCTGTTACTTTTGTATCATTTTCTTTATCAGTAACAGTTTGTTGCTTACTTTCTATATCTAGAGGATTCTCATTATTTTCGTTTAATGTTTTCTCAGTGATATTGATACTGTTTTCTTCATCACTAACAGTTAGATTAACATGTTCTTTACAAATCTGTTCATCAGCAATTTTAATGGAATCAATATCAGTAATAGTTGGACCATCCCTTTCTAAACTTTGTGGTTTTTCAGTAAAAGCATTGAGATTCGTATTTATACTACTTTTCTCACAACTAGCAGCTGGATTAACACTTTCAATACACTCTTGTTGGTTAGCATTTTTGTTGAAGGTTTGCTTAGCGACATTGACATTTTCATCATCATGAGCAATTAGATCAACATTTTCTGTTTTTTTGTTACTTTGATTATTTACAGAAAATACTTTCTGAGTGATTCTGCTTGTCTCAGATACATCAATAAAACTTGTTTGATCATTAATACTTTCTCGACTGCTCTTAGTTTCAGTTATCTTGATGGCATTTATCGTTTCTTCAATTGTCTTGGGGACATTAATACTATTTTCATTACCACTACCAATTTCTACATTTTGTGGTCTGTCCGTATTTTCCATTTTTTCATCATTAATGGATCTAATTGATTTTTGAACTTCCTTATTGATAAGTGCATCAAAAGGACTGAGTAATATGTTTTTTCCTTCAGCTTTTTGCTTGGTATTGTCATTTCTTTCTATCTTTATACATGTTTTGGTCGTAGCAGTTGACAAGACTTCATGATTTTTTTGTTTTGTAACTTCTTTCAAAAATGATTTCTTTTCATTTTCTGTAATAAGTTCATTAGTTAGAACTGGTTGGTTAATAACAATTGGCAAGTTTGGAGATAAGATTCGATCTTTCTTTCTGTGTTCAATACATTTCTTTTGACAGGAAAGGTTAACTTTAATTTCTGATACTATATTATTATCAAATGAATCATTTAAAAGTTGAGATGACTTAGTAATCAATATGGAATCAGTATTGACTTTCTTACTGCCAATAACTGCTACACATTTATTAAATTTTTCACTTTTAATCTCATTCAAAACATGTGATTCATTACAATTCTCATTTGTTTTAATTAAATCTATTTCCATTTCTAACTGAGCATCAAGATTGTCATGTATTATTTCAGTTTCTATTTTATTGGAACCATCAGAATTTTCCGTTTCAATAACTGGACTTTCAACTGTTTTTAACATGCATAGTTCATTTTTGTTTTCCTCAATATGCCACTTATCAACGTATTGATGACTAGTGTTTTTTTCAGATTTTAGTTTTTTTATTACATCTTCTAAACCAGCTTTCTTTTCTTTTAGTTCATTCCTTTTATTATTGTGTTGAGAAGATTTTATAATCTGTTTTCTTGTAACATTAACACCTTTGTTCACTTTAGAAGAACTTCCGATTTCATTTGGAGTTGTAGGACCTACAACAATCCGGATATCTTCATTTTTATTATTTTTAACCGACTTGGATTTAGATGGAGAAAAGCTGTTCATCAAACCTGATTTTTCTATTTCTCTATTTTCAATATTTGAAAAGTTGGCGTTGTCTTCTTGCACTTGTTTGCAAATATCTTGATGATTAATAGTCAAATTTCTATCTCTCCGACAAGGTAAATCATTAATATCCATTTTGGAGGGTGAAACTCTCCCATTAGGAATAAGATCGGTGGTGTTACCATCAGTATCTAAACAAATTAAAAAAAAAAGTAATTTTAATAATAAATAAATTCAATTCAATTATAAACTAAAAAATGATACAAAAATAGTTATTGAATGACATTGAATAAATAGTTTGATGTTAATTCTGAACATCACTCGAATCATCTTTTTCGTAAATTTCAAAATCACTAGCTGGATGGTAAGCTTTGCAACTGAAAAATCCATGGTTGTCATGAACACTATGTTCCTTTAAAAAAATGTGCCATGGCAACATCCTGCAAGGCTCCAGGAGGTAACTCAGGTAGGACAATTGACCTTGTGCTGGGAACTGGCCAAAACTTCAGTTGTCTAAATGATGTAAGATCCTTTAGAGAATATAACATTAACTCTGATAATTACTTGGTAATGATGAAACCCATCCAGACAATAAAATGTACAAAAAAGGAGCAACCCTCCCAGATTAAACATTGGAATACAAAATGTCTCAAATATGGAAAGAGAAGACCTTACCTAAAGAATGGAATGAGACCCTAATACAAGGGTGGTCTGAAAAGTTTCCGACCGCAACATGAAGATGGCAGTACTCGTAAATAAAAGCAAGTGAATTTTGTTGTTCATTTATTGACAGTTACTCACCAAAGTTTCAACCATTTTGGACACACAGTTTTTATGTAAAAGTCGTTTGAATGAGTTGATGTGAGTGTTTTTATGAAAATGGACAAAATCGAGTATCGAGCTGTCATTAAATATTTGTTTTTGAAAGGCAATATGCCCATGCAAATCAAAGATGAGTAGGATTCTGTGTATGGACATTCTGCCTTCATACATGGTGGGCCAGACCCCCCTACCGTGCACTGCGTTATTCTCTCTGAACAAAGAAATATGGAAAGGACAAAGCTACAAGTTCTTTTAGATAACTGGAACTGATTGTTAGTATTTGGTCTCAAAATGAGAGAAAACACGAAATTGAACCCAAACATTGCAGAAATACATTAATTAAATGACAAAGGAAGTGCCAAAATCTCGGAAAAGAAAACAAAGATCAGTATCCATTATATGGCTAAACGAATATATAGTAGAAAGATGAACATATTTCAAGATGCTGCTAAAAAGGGAGTCAAATGCTGGAGAAATTTGGATGATATTAAGGGGACGGACGATGCAGGTTTATTATGGTGAAGACCATTTTTTCAGCAACAAAGAGTTGTTCAAAGCAATTGGCAAGTCAGCTGGTCTATACGAAGTAACCCGAAATGCTGTGCATACAAAGGCTACAAATGTATTAGAAAATTATATGAAAGGACTGTAGTTTTGTCCCTTTACAAGAAAGGAGATACTAGGAAATGTAATACCTATTGAGATTCATTCCTGTTTAGTGTACCAAAGAAACTCTACTAAAGAATTGTAGAAGCTAGAATAAGAAATATTATCGATTACAAGAGCGATATGGAATGGGAAACTCAAGTTGCACATTGGAACATAAGTTGCAAATTGTGACTGTTTTTACTTTAAGGCAGGTTACAGAGAAGTCCATCAAGAAAGAAAAATAGCTTCTCTATCTGCTTAGTACCTTTGGATTGTGTTAATATTTACTAGTCTTTCAGAAAAGCTCGTTTTCCTTTTAGATTCCTTCAAAAATCTTTTGCAAATGCACTAAACAGAAGAGCTACTTCTCTTTCTCGATAAACCTGTCTGTAACCTGCTTCAAAGTGAAGGTAGTCCCAATGTGCAACTTCAGTAGCAATTGAAAATAAAGTGGTTTTCACCATAATAAACCTTGTTTACTTCGTCCAGACCTGCTGACTAGGCAATTGCTACAAACAAATCTTTCTTGCTGATAAAAGGGTCTTCACTATAATAAACCTGAATTGTCCCCTCAATATCATCCAAACTGCTCCAGCATTTGACCCCCTTTTAGCTGTATCTTGAAATATTCTGTTCATCTATCTACTATATATTCATTTAGCCATATAATTGATACTGATCCTTGTTTTCTTTTCCGAGATTTTAGCCCTTCCTTTCTCATTCTATTTATGTATTTTTCTAATTTTGGGGTTCAATTTCGCGTTTTCCCTCATTTTGAGACCAAATACTAACAATCAGTTCCAGTTACCTAGAAGAATTTATAGCTTCGCCCATTTCTTTGTGCAGAGAGAATAATGCATTCAATATTAAAATTTCCTATTTTTTTATGAAATGGTCAAACTTCAGAAAACAAAATAAAGGAAATAAAATTGATTTTTTTTATTTGTGATATATGAGTTTTACTAAACAATCAATCAAACATTCATTATATGTAGTTCAGATTAGGTACATATTATTTTAGTTTATAAAACAGGTATTAATATGACTCATTGTTGGGGAAGTATATAAAACTTAAATTACCTCTAAGAATCAGTAAATATACAAGACAAAGTGTTAAATTGCAAACGTTAAATAAAAAACTCAAGATATTCATCAAAGTATTTTTGAATTAAATTATATTATTATAATTATATCATTATTACAATAGAGGCCTTTGTATATGACCTCCATATAGAATAAAGGAAATTAAATTTAAAAAAAAAATTAAACATTAAAAAAAAATATTTTTTTAAATTTTTTGGACAGTTAAATTTATGCATTAATATTTGTTCATTAATAAAATCAATATAATGTACCAAAAGCGTTATAGAACTGTAACTAAGCCATTTATGAGTACTGAATGGTGTGGTAGAGGCCTGTAGGCACCTACGCCAGTACCGCTTTTGAGACACTTAAGTGAATTTTCTACGGAACTGCTTCAAATATTTTAAAAAGTAATCAGTGTTTTAGAAAGAAAAATATATTCTTCAGATGTGTTATTTCAGCACATTTTGCATTATTGGTGGCCGTTTAATTACAAACGACGCTTGATTTTCAACTTGAAAATTGTTTTGTTAAAAAAATTGACTTTACTGGTGTTTTTTATTGCCTAATCCAATTATTTTTTAATATGTTTTCATGTTATCTGACTATCCAGCTTTAATAAGAGACCAACTATAATGAAATCAAGCCAAATGCTGATTCTCAGTGACCAATAAACTAACTAAAGTCAAAGTCGTCAGTCCGCCATGTTTGGACGCCATTTTGGGGTAGTTCGTTAAATTTTTTTTTTGTGGGAACATTTTTTTTTAATAACTTGTAGCAAGGAACACAACGATATGCAAATTATAGGGATGTGGGGGGAAGAGGGATGAGGGAGTGCACAGTAGGGAGATCTGGCCCACCGTGTATGAAGGCAGAACTTGTGGAAAAATGGCCACATTTGCAGGAAAAAAAAATCCTGTTTCACCAAGACAATGCACCATCTCACATTTCAGCAGTTGCCATGGCGAAAATCCACGAATTATGGTTTGACCATCAGCCTTACTCACCAGATCTAGCCCCAAGCTACTTCTTTTTGTTCTCTTTTCTAAAAATTGAACTCGGAGGAAAGATTATTGTCAAATGAAGAGGCAATCACCTTTGTAAACAATTATTTTGGGAGCATCGCTGGGAGAAGTGTGTAGAGTTACAAGGAGACTTTGTTGAAAAAAAAATTAAAATTTCAGAAAAAATGTCTTGTATTTTTGTTAGGTCAGCAACTTTTTAGACCACTCTCGTAGTACAAGTGAGAGTCAATAATAAATAGCAAATATAGGGGAATCAGTTTGCTTAACAATGTGTATAAAATTATCTTTAAATCTTTCTACCATAGGCATCTCCATGTGTTGAACAGAAATTGAGTGGCTATCAAAGTGCTTTCCGACAATATTGAACTGTCTACAGTTTAACAAACCTTCCCTATAAGACAGATCTGAGAAGATGAATGAATATCAGCAGACTATCTAGATGCTGTTTATAAGAAAAAACTAATATCGGCCATGCATGAACCAGAACTGCCAAATAAATTGACTGGATTAGTAAAATGCACAATGGCAAGTACTACATGTCATGTAAAGTGTTGTGGCATAAGATAAGAGGGACCCATTAGTTCCTCTGCTTTTTAACTAGCTATTATCAATAGATCTGAATTGAATCAGGAAGGAATAACATTTACAAAGATGACCCAAGTTTTAGCTTACGCAGATGACCACAATCACAATACAGCACATGGGGTTGTTCATTGAAACAATTGATGAAGAGGCAAAGAAGATTGGCCTACACATTAATGATGGGAAGACAAAGATGACACTTAGCAACAGTCTCTCAGAGGCTGAGTCACAATTAAACGGGCCCTTATAGTTTTTACATTAAAAGATTCCAATACCTAAACTCTGACTTCGGTGAAGAAGAAGAGTTGAAAAACAGGGAATAAACCTTATTTTTACATAACAAGAATAATTAAGAGCAAACTGATAAGATGTAATACCAAGTTGAGGCTTTAGAATACCCTTATAAGATCAGTGGTCACATATGGTGGAGAAACATGGATCATCAACGATAAAGGCATCAATCTGTTGGACAGGTTTGAAAAAGTAATATTGAAGAGAATTCTGGTATCTGTATAAAAAAAATGGTCATTGGCTAAGAAGAAAAAGTATTGAACTGTCGACTCTATAAGGAAATTATAATCTTCTGTATTAAAATACAAAGATTAAAATGGCTCGGCCATGTTATGAGAATGAGTGACGATAGAATCACAAATAAAGTATACAATCTACAAGTATCTTCAGGAATGAAGGATTCTGTTACCCTTGCAGGAGATAGAGTGAGATGGTTGGCAGCTGTTGAGCCGACCAAGGGCAGTCTCATGCGTCTGTTGTGCTGACAGAAGAAGAAGAAGAAGACTTGCATCAGCGTTGTTACTATCAGTTTCTAAAAAAACAAAAATAAAAAAGTAATTTTAATAATAAATAAATAAAATTCAAAAATGGTACATAAACTTTTTACAGGAGTTCTCAATGATGATAATGTATAATTTTGGCAAATAAGTCCTTTCAGTTTATCTGTTAATTTTCATGTTACCACCACACATTTCTTACTGACTAATTAATCCCTAAAGTGAATTGCCAATCATGTTTGTTTGTAATTTGTCAACAACCATTTCCGTGAACTCTTGTTAAAATTATATCAATATTGTATTAGCTATTGCAAAGTGAATAAGGAAAAATATCATTCATTATCGGCATATTTTAATGTATTATTTTTAAGAAAAGGAAGCATACTAAGGAATGATGGCTTAATCTAATATACATGTTGAAATTGGTTTGCTGAATGTCTTCCAGAAAATTTTTACATAATGATGCTCCATGGTTTATTATTCCACAAGAAATTGAAATAAGCAAGTTACAACCATGTTAGTCAAAATCTCGCCCAATCAATACCCCTAATTTTAAATAAGTTGTTGTTTTCCATCTAGACAACACTAAGCTTCATACCTCATTGCTCACTGTCAATAAATTATTAAGCTTTGAATGGAACCTTTTGCATACCCTTTCTATTCAATAAACCTAGCTCTAAATGGCTACCACTTACACTAAAATTCAAAAATACAATAGCAATAGGATTGTAATGGGTGGCTGTGAGTAAATACATCACAGTAGCATATATATCTTATTTTCTGATTCTCTTAACTCTGAACTAAGCTAAAATTATATATTTTTTATGAGATAGAGGTATCACAGGCCCAGCAACTCAGCAACCAATTCCTCCAACTCCATGTGGGGTATTTTTGCAAACCTTATTAATTCTATTCTAAATATTTTCCTTTTACAAATTATTTTTTTCCGTTTTTGTTTTGTTTTTCCAGGTTGTTGAGTTGAAGTGGGCGGGGTGGCCAAATGGGCTAAGGGGTGTGTACAGCACTGCCGTTGCCGGCAACCTGATATATCAATCAAATGATCCCCTGTGACGAGGGAGTCTTTTAAATCTCCCTGGCCCGGGAAAACCCTGTATAGCCTTAATGGCAAGGAAGGGGAGGACCGGAAAAAAAAAAAAAAAAAAAAAAAGAAGGTTGTTGAGTTGATACATGTCTGACATGCATGGCTATTTTTGCATGAAATGGGTCCAGCAACTTTCTCCTCTTGTGGGGTCCCTCATACCTACTATTTCCACACTGCCTCTTCTTTGAAACTCAACTAATTCTTATGGTCTATAATCTTGGAATCGTTTTAGGTCAAACCTGAGAAAAATCACAACACAAATTTACATCTGCCATTCCTTCATTTTCAAGCTTCTTAATTATAATCTTTTGCACCCTCCATAGGAAACATTAGTATTTCTGATTACCTCCTTTTGGCCTATTGTCTTCTAGCCAAAACAATAAAAGGATGAAATAATACTGATTCCTTTCAAGACATTTTACCATTAGAATTTCTATCTTATAATGTTTACCCATGTAACTGTCACAGTACATTCATCAGTATTCTTCCTCTAATCAAGTTTTACCCTATGTCAAAAAAAAAAAAAACCTGTCCCTCACCTTGCATATTTATTAATTCTTATTACCAATATTTGTAATTCATTACTACTACAATTACAAATACCTTATCTCATTGATCTAAAACAAATATCCTGTGAAATTTGGCAAAGGACATGCTAACAATCCTACAAAATTAGTAGGTGTTGGGATCGAAATAACTTAATGGTCTTCAAACTACAGCCCATGGGCCGGACCAGGCACACAAGTTTCTTTGATCACATGGTAAAATTTTAAAAGCTGTTTAAAAATATGAAATTTAGCAAATTACCCACACACAAAGTTACTACAACATTTAATGCAAGTTTTGTTTTTTTTCTATTAGAAAGATCATTTCTAGGCTGAAGTGACATTGAAAGGACAAGATTTTTTTTTAAAACATGAAAATATCAGTTCAAGTGATGATGAATCTTAACCATAACAGCGTTATAGAAATCACTCATTCACTCTTGAATTTTTCAGATGGTGCAGAGCGTAATTAAGTGTGTCAGAATTTTTTTTAGTTGAAAATGTGATAAACCGTAACTGAAAGTGATTTGGCGGCAAAGCGTTAAATAAAGTATTCTTCACCATGAATAATTTTAGTTATTAAAGCATGGTTTGGGATCAGAGCCATTCATGGGTTGCAGGCGCCCCGCCAAAATTTTACTGGGCTCTCCCTTATTCCTTTCTAATTGGGCCAGGAGCCTATTTTCTTATGTTTGTGAATAATACCTATTATACCAAGATATACCTTTACATTTTCACCAATCACCGATAAATTTCAAAATTCAATATAATTTTTCAGAAAACCAACATTGTTAAAGCTTTCTTAAACAATAAATTCAGTCGACTCTCAGTGCATTGAATGTCAGCTTGAGTTGAACGCGACTGGACCTAGAATACAATACTGATCTTTGGCTATGCTATAGTAGTGATTCATGAAATGAAATTATAATAGTTCTATCTGACCTCACTCCAATGAGATAAAGGTGCCTCTCATAGATTTCACCCCTGACTCAATGCTTATTGCTTTCTTAAACAGTTATATAAAGGTCCAGATAAAAAGAATGAATCACAAAGTGTAATGTGGATTGAGATATAGCTATTTCCATGAATATTATATATTCATGAGTGTTAACTTTCGGCCAAAAACCAGCAGGCCATTTCTAAATTTAGAGAATTATTTTCATTCATTCATTCATAATTCGCTTTCCATCGGTGCAGGATTGATGGATTCCTTTGATGGAATTAGTGCTGAGTTCAGGAACATCTCAAAACTCACACTATTGAAATAATTTATTACCGAAACACGTTATTATTAGGTAACTGCCAACTTTAACTAATGTTATAAAAATTTCACAGTATAGCTTATCAACAATTAGTAGACACCTGAATTTCACCATTCAGCAAATATTCCCTTTTTCCAATCTTAGTTCCTCCCCATCCCTCCCCCCCCCCCCAGCTCCCATAATAGAAGTACAAAAAAAAAATCCTCATTTCCTTGCTAACGACGTTTTAAAGTTGTAGTATATTTCAACCTCAAAAAACATCTTTAGAACACATTTTTGATATATGGATGGTTACTATCCTATCAGACATGTAAAATGAATTGAGTTAGCTAACTGAAGTCATCATCAAGTCAAAAAAAATTGTTAAGTTGTGGTTAAAACCACACAGTGACATGATTAATTGTAATCGAAAAAAATATTTTTATTTTTTTCAATGTTGAAAATTTGAATATCAGTACTGTTTATACATAGTTATAAACTAGCTAATCTTTGTTTGCATTTCTACTCAACGTTGGTTATGGGGTGTGTTAACGTTTAAAGTTAATAAAACTAATAAACCAATTTTTAAATACCTAAGAGGAACAAAAATAATTTTAAAATGATAATAGGTTTATCTTAAAAATACAATACATAATTTTAAAACGCAATATACAATTTAAGAGATGGTTTATATATGCTTTTTATAACTGAGTAAATTAATTTAATCAAAACCTAACATGTAACAATAACAATTGTCAATGCTACAGTCCCGGTATAATCGATTATTCGTTGAAAATTTGAAAAAGTAAGGTTAAACTTACTGTAATAAATTTCTCATGAGGATTTATAAATGACGAATCTGAAATAAAATAAAAGAAAGCCGAAAATAACACTAAATGCAAGTCATAGCATTAAGCAAAAACATAAACGAAGAAATAAATCAAAATTTACAACAATCAAATCATTTCAACTCTATCCTAAACACATTGATGCGTAAGTTTTATACATTTTTCCAAATAAACACAAAATTTTACGAATCATAAAGAACTAAATATGTAAGACGAACTATACCTTCCATCATCCAACGCACAGTTCAGAAGACAAAATTAAAAATGGAAGCTTCCGTTTTAGCGATATACAGACCGCCTTTGTTTTCATACTTATGTAGAGTACCAACTTAACATAACGTTTAATAATAATAATAATCGTATTTGTTGTTTATTTTAAGCAAGGGAAAACAATATACAATAAAATAATAAAGACAATATTTATTAATTTAAAACGAAATGAAACAATTAATTCCTAACATTAAGATTAAAAAATCATATGGCCCATCGAATATAGACTTTTTATTTTACTATAAAGAATTATACCATCCAGCCAGGATTTTTTATTCACCATGGTGAAAAACTTCCCTTTTTAGAGAAATTCCAAGGTTGGGAAAAGAAAACTTTTTATCATTTAAAGTCTATTCTCAACACCGGATCCAATTTAATCTATTTGTTAAACGTAATATAAACAAAACACACACAGAACAAGTAGTTGATCCATCACAGTCACACATTAAATAATATTTAACGGTTATTTACGGTTTTAAGTTAACAACCAGAGGTGTAAGGGGTGGACAAGGAGGCTACAATTTTTTATACATAAAAACTATACTGTCATTAACTAACAGAAATACTATGCATCTCTTTTTTTTTTTGTAACAAAAGCAATTATTTTTCCGTTTTCTCTTTTAATTATGGCTTTATTTACACCACTGAATTCAGGCATAAATGGAAAAAGTAAAACAGTAATAAGATTACACAAAGCAAATTGGTGGCTGTCGTAACTAGTTCTAATTCTATTAATTAATAAATCGACATATAACTTCTATACACGAATTGATATCATTTATGAAACATAATATAGGTTTGTATATATCTGACCAGGAGGGATTTTTAGGTTCTTACTGAAGGGAAAACAAGTGAAAATCTAACTGACCAAAAGGGAAATAAAACGAATCTGGTGCGGTGCACGCATCACACAACTTTCACTTACCAACCTTAGAGTACATAGGTATTTCATGTATAGGGGAACATGGGCGCATCTACAAGGGGAGGGGGGGGAGAAGGAGGGGCTTTCTGGCTGATGTCCCCCCAAAA